TACATACGGTGTTGTTTTTGTTGACTAAAATTTTACCCGGTAAGTAAACGATAATGTTTAATTTCACCAGTAAACGCTTACTGGGTAAGTGTTTAGGTAAACGGCCCCTTAAACTCAATATAACCCAAATTATAAGGTTTTTTTTAGAAACCTTAAAAAAATACTTAAAGTGAGGTAACTTAAAACATAATTGATACCAAATTAGGTCAAACGGTATTTATTGGGTTGGAACTGGGTTACAATAATTTGAACTTAGCCCGATGAAATCTGATACTTTTCTATACTGCGGATCTAATATGAAGTTATTGATTAATTTATGTACATTAAACATCAGATAAACTTGTACTTAGGTATATTCAAAATTATATTACAATTTAAATCATAATTTTACTTTCTTATTTGACTTTCAACTTTTATTTGAGTTTGTTAGTCTTATTTGTATGTTCTCATTTTAATTTTACTTCGTTTAAACAAAATATTTATCTTAATTGTAAAATGATGTACCAATGTTTCAACCTGACTAACCAAACCTAATCTGTGCGGTTTGGATCGGGTTGAGATTTTCAAACTGCAAATATTGGGTTGGGTTATTCAAATGGCTTTAAAACATCCAACTTAACCCATGTATAACCATATCTGACCACTGACCACCACAACCGAAGCATTGAAACGACAGTGTTCAATCATCGGTTAGGTCATTTTACAGTCATTCTTTTGCAAACAATATTATAGTTCAATACCAATTAATCTCAACTTTTGGTAGAACAAACAACAACTACTTCGAATAATGGGGCTCGAAATCAAAGTTCACTTTTCGATTCACGAATCAATGTCGTTGAGAGGTGTTTTCGAACACGCCTTAACTACTGTCTCACAAAGTATATTAGAGCCGCCTCTTTTGTTACATATACTGACTATCAACCATTATATGCAGTATTTTGTCGTCCAATACCGGCACCCTGGTAATAAGGCCCACACTTATGAATGTCCAACGTCACTAGCATGCACAAAATTTTTATCAAAACGCAGCATGCCCATTAAATACCACGATTACACTTAGAACAATCGCACACATGTGTGTATCTCACATCCGAAACCAAAAGTCACGTGCGTTAATCATGGTTTTATATACATCAAGCACATACTTTGAGTACTCGTGTTACATTTGTTATACTCGTAACTATAGAAATGCAATCAGTCAATCCTTAGTTACCAGATAAGTGCTTACCAGACGTCACTTACCTTATCGAAATAACCGAAAATCTTAGCATGTAAGAGGCATAGTAAAAACCAAGAATTTTACCCTGTAATTGAGTCAGAAGACTCATAACCCGGTAAATAATTACCAGGTAAAATACGCTTACCAACAATACATTTTGATGGTTTAGAATCTTACCCGATAAAATAAGTGGGGGAGGTGACTCTTGTCAATAGATATTTACCGTACAAGTGTTTGGTAAATCGTCTTTTAATCAATTTTAATTTCTGATATTAACTAAATATCTAATTAAAACAAAAATCAAATTAAATAATTAGTAATTAATTACTAACCGGCCCAAAACACTTAACTCAATATAACCCAAATGAGTTATTTGGCCCATTTTTGCTGGCCTAGGCAGATGATTAGGGCTTTTGGCCCAAAACCGCCAACCACGTGCGTGACGCGGACCTTTTTTCTCTAGGCATAATGATTTATTCTGTCCGTTGGGAAACCCGGTTCACCTGCCCCGTTCGGGATTGGGGATTCTCCATAAAAACGGGTACTGGGTCCGGGGCCAGGGATCCCGGTCATGTTGAAAACCGGGGCCGGGTAATGTACTTTCCAACTTGCCCCGTCCTCCTGTGTATATATATTAATTAAATTTTTTTTTATATGTGTTATATAATATATCATATTCTTCAACCAATTTTGACCATTTATTGTTGAACCGGGGATTGATCGAGGGTAAACCAGGGGTGGACTGCATATAGATCCAAAAAAAAAACCGGGGACGGGTTTCAGTTCCTCGTACCCGCAGGGGACACTGGGGCTGGGGCCGGCAATTGCTTTTTCCGCCCTATTGTCATGCCTACTTTTCTCCCTTACCAATAGGATGCTCATTAGTTGGGTTGATCGGGTTGAAGATTTTGAACAACTGAACGTAATGTTTACGGTTTGCAAAATCTCAACTCAAGCTAATCCAAAGTGCAACCCAACCCATCCCGTACAGATCGGTCGGGTTAATCGGGTTGATACATTAAAATATTTTCCCATCTTTAAAAATGTTGTTTTCTCTACTTATAATTCCCTTTTTCATTATTAATCATTTGGTATTGCTTACTCGTCTCCTTAAATCTTAAGTACATTAAATCATATTAAATCCAAGAAATAAAAGAATATCGGGTTTATCGGGTTGGGATGAGTTAAAACGATCGTAACCCAATTCCACCATAATACATATGGTTTAAAGATTACAACTTGATTAGACATCGGGTTTGCTTCAGGTTGAGTTATTTCACGTTGTGTTGGGTTGGGTTGGATTGGCTAGGTTGGTCAAGTTGTTTGGGTTTTTGAGCACCCCTACTGACTAACCACGACCAACAACATCCGACTGACGGTTTTCAACCGCCGGTGAACTACGTGGACGACCACCTGTAATGTGGTGACTCATGGGCTACCCACAGGGACCAAAACAACAATAAAATGTAAATCATAAGTACGGAAATAACAAAAAATATTGATCATAGGAACGAAAATTGAAATTTATAAACCATAGTAACGAAAAACACTGTTTACTCTTAATTGTCTTTTTTTTTTTGTAAAAGTAAACGTTATGGAGATAACATAATTTATTGCATAATTGCAAATATCTGCTATCCAATTACCCAGAAAAAATATTATACCTGTTAAAGTGTTAATTATTATATATTTTACGTTCGTGGATACTTTTATTTGTTTGAATAGTCTGCATTTTCGTTTAGTAGACTTCCAGTCACGATGATTAAGATATGTAGTTGACGATGCATAAAACGTATGAATGTAACACATAATGACAAAACAGAATTGATAGAATGTACAGTATGTGACTCTCGGTTAGCTACTTTTTTATGGGGTGATTTGTACTTATTATGTATTTCAACTAGTGACGGCCAAAAAGTGGTCCCGGGCCGGGCCGGGCCGGTCCTTACCAGTCCCAGGCCTCAACAATTAGGCATGGCAACGGGGAGGGGATGGGGTGGGTTTTGTAATCCCCGGCCCCGGTTTTTAGTAACATCCCCCGGCCCCGGTCCCCGACGGGTACGGGGATTAACATCTCGTCCCCGGTCAAACCTCTATCAATCCCCGGTCAAAACTGGGTCAAACCCCATTAAAAATATCCCTTAGTTTGAGTCTACCGGGGATCCCCGGCCTCGGGACTCGTTTTAGCGGGGAATCCCCGTCCACGTTCGGGTCGGGTGAATCGTGTTCCCCACTAGGTCGGGGCAAATCACCATCCCTACTCAACAGATCCGACCATAGCCAGGACCAGTCCCGATCGAAAAAGGTGAGCCCAGTCAAGCTTTATTGTAACCGGTTATGGGCTACTGGTCCCGGTCATTATAAAAATAATACATTTTTTTTAATTTTTTTAATGATATATATTTTTAGTTACATTATAAAATTTGTAATTGAGTCACTCAAATATACTTTTAAAATGCATTTTATTATAATTAAAATTACATTGTCTTACAAAACATAATAAAATACCAAAATTTGTCCCAATCCTCTGGCGGTCCCAGGCCAGTTTGGCCATCACTAATTTCAACCGCTAGCAAACAAAAATAGAAAATAGAGTTGCTAATGAAAGTTCTTATGAGATACTCGTTTAAAATGCAACTAATGACGTGGCAATTCAATTAATTTGATTTTTCGCTTGTTTTCAAGCAGTTTAAAAGGTTTGACGTGATTTAACGTGGAAATTTTCATGGCTTTTTATAAATCTATTGGAAATGGTTCAAATGTAAACAACACTTATGATTTACCCAAATACGATAACAGCTATAAGTAAAGGTGTTCGTTGACCCAACCCAAACCGTACGGGTTGGTCGGGTTAGTCGAGTTGATACTTTGGTACATTAAAATATTCTTTTAACCTTGAATATGTTACTTTTCTATTCATAATAATTTTTTCATCATCAACCATTTGATACAACTTATTCAAACTTCTTATATATATCACATTCAATTAATTTTTTCAATTTACATATACATGTTCACAGTTACTGAGCTTATATATGAATGAGTTATATAGAGATGGAGAATAAATTGAAAATATGTATATATGAAGAGTGGACGTAATAGTGTAATTGTTTAATGTATATTATTTGAACTCAACAATCATATTAAATCCATAAATAAAATGATGTTGGGTTCATCGGGTTGCGTTGAGTTCAAATAATAGTAACTCAATATCAACCCAATACCTATGGTTTAAATTTTTTACAACTCGATTAAAATTCATATTGTTTCGGGTTGAGTTATTTCGCGTTAGATTGGTCAGGTTTTTGAGCACCCCTACCTGTAAGTCAATCATTTTGTTGTAAGCCATGTTTTTAGAAAACTTGATGTAACATAATTTTAATAAATATTTACCTTGTTTTAAGTCATGATTTTAACTGGAAAAATTACAAATCACATAATAAAAAGACAAAGTTGATGATCGTGGACAAGATCATCACTGATTCCAATTTATCAGAACATTATCATATCATTATCACATAATAAACAGACAGAGTTCATGATTATGGACACGATCATCATTGATATCAATTTTTCACAACATTATCACATAATTATCATAGCAAAATTACGTCATAAGAAGTGTTTGCTTTATCGAAACATTATCACAACAAAATCACATCATTATTACAAGATTATTTATTCAGTAAAATAAATGACACACAGTAAACGCTTAATAATCGTTTCGTAAATAGTAATAATTATTCAAAGTATTAATAAATAAATCAATTACTAAATTTCCAGAACTAGACATTAATTGAAATTTCAAGCAACCAAAGATTGTTTTCTCTACTATCTACATTGAACGCATCCTAACCAAAAACCCTTTGACTACGTCTACATTCAACTTTGACTTTTGGGTTCATGGTGCACCTAACCCAAACCCATGTCTATTTTCCCACCAAACTCCTAAAATCTTACATTCCAACCCCCCAAGGAATCACCTATTTACATTCCCACCCCTCTACTTATTAACATCTCTGTTTTTTCATTTCATTTCATTTTCACAGCCTATACCCGGAGCTACTCGGTTGGGTCGGGTACCGGATAGCAAATGGGTCGGTTGTGTTCATTAAGCTCTGTGAAAAAAAGTAACCGGAGTTCTCCATTCTCTGACTTCTGATTCCGGTTACCGCTTCGGATTCCGGCGATCGACCGTATTTCATGTGCATGTTGAATGTTGGATCAATGGGGATTGCATTTGGCGGATTGTTGTTGTTGATTCCATCTTGTGATCCGAATACGGTTACATTTGTCGTCCACTCGTAGTTACCGTAATCGTATCTTTGAACATCGACCTTCTGATCTTCTTCTTGAAACGACTTCATGGTGTTGTTCGCCGGAAAGTTCAGGAACTTGTCGTCAATCGCCGGAAGTGAATCGAGAACATCGTCAAACTGGGAAGACGATGAAGAAGAGGAGTTATGGCTCTGGTCTGTGCTTGGACCACCGGATATTGTTTTCTCGGCGGCGGAATTCTTCTTGTAAATCCGACAAAGCACCCAATCATCCAACTGTAAAAGAAAAGAAAAATCTTTCAGTTTGTTTTTAAGCTATTTTTTTTATTAACCTGGATATTCAATCTGCTATGCGAACCGATTAATCCCAAGACGACCACATGCTTTGTAGATAACCCAAAATCATCGCATTTAACCCTCCGTGGCCACAAGGGAATTTTTATTCCTCCTTGAATTTAAACCTGATACTCCAGAGTTGTTTGTTTTTTAAGATTCACCGGTGATCGTTAAATAGCATAATCATTAAGACTGTTTGTTTTTGTAAATTAATAGATGTCTAAATCTGTATAATTATTTAAATATTATAATGTTGAATTTATATACATTTATATAATTTCAAGGTTAATCAATTAAGAAGACAAATAAGAGGTTATAAGAGAAGAGTAAAACATAAATATCTCTGAGAATTTATAAAAAAGGTCTGATGGGTCGTTTGGTTGATTTTCAAAAAGTCATGTATGGATAAAGTAGTGCGGATTAATTTGTTTGTATAGATTGAGAAGGTTTTTGTTTGAATGGATGACAAACTTGTTTTTCTATATAAAGCTTGTTTACCGAGCCACTGCTATATAAATTAAGCCACTGCCAAATATGGTCTTGTCTAGCTAACCAAATAAGCTATGAAGCCATTAAGCCCGTTAAGCCGCTTAATAAACAAGCCTTGAATGACCCAACCGCTTACCAATTCAGATTCCATTGCAAAAAACATCGGGTCGGAGCTTCACTTACCCTGGAGCTATTATTTTTTTTCGGAGGCTCCGAAAGCCTGTATTCATGCATGATCCAATTAGTCTTCGATCCTTTCGGAGCTTTTCCAACGTAAAACACCAAAGCTTTCTTAATTCCAACCTTCCGTCCTTCCGATATGATCACTTTATCAGTTCCGGTGGCTTTCCAGTAACCCGACCCGGCAACTCTATTGGGTCGTGACCCATTTGGATACTTTCGATCTCTAGGGCTAAAAAAGTACCATTCTTTCTCCCCAAACATCGCCTTACCTATCAACATTCAATCAAATTCCACCATTAATCAATCAAATTCTCTCAAAGTTCATAAACAAAATCACAATCGGAAAACGACGAAACTTACTCGGTAACTCCCATGGATCAAACTTATACAAATCAACATCTCCGATGATCTGAAGCGCAAAATCATGTCCGGCGACTTTCCGGCAAAGGTACTTCACCATAAGCTCTTCGTCGGTAGGGTAAAACCGGAATCCGGGAGGTAATTTCAGTTGAGTCATCGGATCCGTCACCGGCACCGGCACCCCCATCGCTCGATTTGCAGAGATTTATATAAAAATGAGATATTTATTATTTTAATTTTTTTCAAAAAATGGGGGTGGGCCGTGGGCGGGTATTTATAGTGTGGAGAGGGGGTGTACAGTAATTATGGTGAGTACGATCGTAGGGTTAAAATGTGGACAAGTAATCCAAGCGGCCAACCTTATCAGAAGGGGGCAAATACATGAATCGAGTGAGTCATGTTGATGGATCAGATCTTGATCGTACACGTGGGACTTTTGTAATATTATGTAGATCAGCAATCATATACCATTACAAAGACAAAAGAACAAATTTATGTATTTCAAGAAATGTAATGATATTATTCTGCTCACCAGACATTTAAAATAAATGTTTTAAAATATATAATAATTATTTATAAAAAAAATAAATTGTATGAAAAAATAACGGATTTTAACTTGATTTTTATTTTAGATATGGTATTTTCAAAAAATTTATTTTGATGTCTAAGATGTAAATTTTTAAACATTTAAGTATTTGAGTAACCGATTGAAAACTAATTTTAGATTAAAAAAATATGTCATTAACCATGCCAACAAATAATAATGAGTTAGATATCACATCACTCGCCATGTTAGCATGATAACCGGTTAATATTTCAACTGGTTACCCAGATGCTTAAATGTTTAAAACATTACATCGTAGGTACCAAAATAAAAGTTTTGAAAATATGTTACCCAAAATATGAATCAAGTTAAAGTATGTTACATTTACATGCAATTTGCTCTTATAAAAACTATCAATTTAAAAGTATCTTCAATACATTTTTTAAAAAGAAATTCTCCAAAAAAAATTACGTTCATCTCCAACAATTTCACTATCTGAGAGAGTAAATATTTATTATATTATTTAAATATTCAATATAATTCATAAATTATTAATATCGTTTCCTAAACAGTTAATTTCAAGGATGAAGAAATAAAAAAAATCCTTTCTAAGCACGCATATTTGGGGAGTTTTTTTTTTTAATGTAAAGAATTTCATCATCTTCATTTTAGAGGTTGTTTGTTTACTCCTTAATAGTTTCATTAAGAGACAGTCTATGAACCGTTAAGAGGTAAATCTTGTTTGACAGGAAAAAAAAAGTTTGCCTTTTAATGATTCTAAAACCTTTTGAATGATTTTGTATCCTGAGCCTCCCTTAACCATTCAACTCCCTAATTTCATTGTAAACAATTACCGAATAATTATATTTCATTTTGCATTATATCATAAAAGTCTCTTAATCACTCTGACCACTTAATCATTCTGCACCAAACTATCCAGCAACTGTCAATCAGCTCCTTACTTTCTCTATTGTATAGAAGCTTTCGAAATCTCGATTGTAGCAAAAATTCTCAAAACCTCCATTTTGGATAATTTGTTAGATGTGCTCTACAAAAATTACATTCAACTCCAATAAATTTTCTATTTTAGATATTTCAACATTAATTATATTATTAAAATATTTAATAATTTTATCATCTTAAAACACTTTATAATTTTTTTTAGATTAAAAAAACTCACACACCCTCCTCATCATTGATAAGTTTTGAGCCCCTGACTAAATACCGCTAGACCAAATACTCTTTAATGTTATTCATTCTTATTGGTCGGAATTTAAAAAAAAAAAAAGGTTAAAGATGCTCTTACAAGTCACCCACATCCATATAATTGTTATGCAACAACATGATTCACACCTTTATTTTTGTATAAAATGAGATATTATTAGGTTTTTATACACTTTTTGATTTTTTTATTTATATTAAGATGTTGACATAATAAATAGGACCCATAAAACGAGGTTATTGTTGGGACTTTTTTACTTGTAATCTGATCTCAATTAAAATATTATTTTTTTCTTTTATTTATTTATATAATCTTTAAATTTAATTTTTTTTATTTAATTATATTTCTTTTTGATCCAGTCTAATCTAAAATATTATTTTGTAAAAATTATAAATTTAATTTTTTTATACATGTAATTATTAATTTTTAGTTTTAAGTATAAGAATAGAATAAATGGACTATTACATGTTTTAAAACGCAATTGTAATTATAAAAACTTATCATACAATTAAAATTAAATAAAACAAGTCATAAAAATAAGTACGAATGACCGGATTTTTGCCATAACGAGAGGATTAAAATGAAAAGAAAGATTGATGTAATGAAAAAGGTCAATATTGGACTTTATTTGTAGGGAATTGAAAACCATGAATTTTGGTATATATTTTTTTATTTTTTTATTTTTTTTTGTTAAAGTTGAGTACCAAGTTATTCGAATCCAGTTAAAGAAATTATTTTCGAGGTCGAATAACTTTTTCAAAGTCGGATTCGAGCTCGTATATTTATTTTACTATTTGAGATTGAAAAAAAATATTAATTGAGTTTTCGAACAAATCAAGTCGGACGTCGGTGTTATGATTTTCGGCACATTTAGTTAACCAAATTTTATTTTGTAATCTTAACGAGTCAAAGTCGAACTCGAAATAAATGAGTTCGAACTCGTATATGGTTGGACTATGAGTTGCTAAGCGGGGTCCCATGCATTCGCTCCACCAATTGAAACAATGTAATTTGACTAAAAAGACATCGGATGACTTTACAGACCTTTAATCCACCTTCAATGTGTAACCGTTCGGCAAAAATCTTGCATTCGTCAGTAAACTTATATAACTCGTTAAAAGCTGGAATCATTAACAACCCTTATTTTAATTTTATCATGACTAAAATAATCAGATTTAGAGAAGTATGTAATCAATGTTCCAATAAAACAGTTTTTAGGTAAAATCGTCTTTTTTTTATTAACCTGGATATTCAACCCGTTATACGAGCCGACTAATTCTAAGACGACCACCTGCTTTGTAGGTAGCCCGAAATCACCGCATTTGAACCTCCGTGGCCACAAGATGATTTTTATTCCACCTTGGATTTGAACATGAGACCTCTAGACACTTGTGACCTTGGGAGCCTAATCTCAAACCAATCAGAAATCACCCTTATGGTTTAATTTACATTATAAGTGTAATTTACATTGATTCTAAGAATTTTAACTACATAAATAATTGTTATAATCATTTAAAATATCAGATTGTTAATAAAAAATTCAAATAAAAAAATTAAATATTATGAGAAGATAAAAAATGAAATGTTTATATGTGAATTATTAAAAAATCTATTCGTGACACATATGTGAACTAAAAATTGCAGATTACGTATATTAGTTCACATATGCATTTTTAAATACATATTTTCAATTATTCACATATGAATCTTTGCTTAACTTTTTTTCTTATATTTTCATGAATATTTAGTCTTATTATTTAAACTGGTTTTTATATATAATTAAGTAAATATTTTTTTTAAAGAACTAAATCTGTTTGTAAAAAGACAATTGCATGAAAAAATGACGTACTTTAACTTGATTTCAATATTTGGTAACGTATTTTGAAAACCTTCATTTAGGTACCTAAGATGTAAAGTTTTAAACATTTGAGTACCCGGATAACCGGTTGAAGATTAATTTTAGATTAAAAAAAGACTTATTTTAGATTAAAAAAGAAACTATTTCACTAACCATGTCAGCAAATAATACTGTGTTCGATACCATATCACTCGTTACATTAACATGATAACCTGTTAATGCTTCAACCAGTTATCCGGACACTTAAATGTTTAAAAACGTTACATCTTAGTTATCAAAATGAAAGTTTTAAAAGTACGTTATCCAAAATAAAAATCAAGTTAAAATACGTTACATTTTCATTCAATTTTTACATTTATAAAAAAAGGACAAATTTCTTTTCTTTTCTCTCATGTCTAAAAACATGACAACATATTTTCTTTATTTTATTTTACTTATTTATTCTTCCCTTTTAAAATAAAATAAAATAAAAATATTCTCGTTTTTCTTTCTTTTTTTTAGCATCTTCAGCAAATAATACTGAGTTGAATATCATATCACTCGTCATATTAGTATGTTAACCGATTAATACTTCAATCGATTACCCGAATACTTAAATGTTTACAATTTTACATCTTAGATACCAAAAATAAAGATTTAAAAAATATATTACCTAAAATAATGTAATTTACTCTTCATACATTTAATAAGAAAATTAGTTGGTTTACCTCGGATACAAAATCTACGGACAAAAATGAGATCGGTTTTCATCGTCACCGCTGTCGGTGTCCTTATGCAACGTGGTCAATGTTTTCTTAATAATGCCAAAACCACTTTTTTTGTTATCCACGTGTCATCCTATCATGCATATCCCTTTTCTTCACCCAAAAAATGTCTTCCACGTTTTTTTTGTTTTATTCTTAAAATATGTTATGTCTAATTATTTTTTTAATACTACAGAGACGTCGCAAAAACCATCCACGTTATTACACGTATGATGACTCATTATAATATATAAATTATTATTATTATATTTAAGGGACGACTCGGTATTTTATAAGATTTGTAAACCACTATTTAACAGTTGTTGGATGGTTTGGTATAAAATGATTAAGTGATCAGAATTATTAGTAGATTCTCATGATATAGTGTAAAATGAAATATAATTGTTTATGATAAAATTATAGTGCTGAATGGTTAGGGAAGACCTTATGATACAAAATCATTCAGTGAGTTTTATAATCATTAAAAGACAGATTTTTTTTATCAAAAAAAATTCATCTGTTAACGATTTAAATGTTGCATCTTAATGAAAGTATTAAAATGCAAACAAACAACCCTTAAGATTCAATCTCAACCAGAAATCAAAGTTTAAATTAATAATTTTTTTAATTATGATTTAAATTTTTTAGTAATGTGAACATTCCACAGTGATTATTGATTGTGTGCACGTTATGATAAATTAATTAGAATCATTCTCTTTTTATAGCCACTGTACTTATTATGATGCCTACTGTATACATGTTGTGATGCCCCTAAGATACACAATACAATAAACTTTAAACAATGAAAACATATAATGTGATTCAAATGACACTATGGTAGCGTTTGTTTTTTAAGAGGTGCTGAAGTCTGAAGCAT